GGGACATAATAATCAACTACATTGTATATTGACAAAATAAAAAAATAAATTAAAAAAAAAAGTCCATACAGACACGTTAACTATTTTCAATTATAAGTGACTCATTTCTATACCTGGCATGTCTGATGACTAAGGCAAGAGCAATCCCATAAAAGAAGAAAAAGGTCATTAGAATGATGCAGTGCAATGGAAAGACTGCTGGACTATGGACCAGCTGTGTTCCAAGACCAGCTCTGCCATGGCTTGGCTGCTTTATCTGACTGTGTGGCTAAAAGCAATTATTTGACTGTCTTCAACAAGGACAGAGGATACATACCAACCTATGACTTCAAAGAGGCATTGAGAAGACAATAATATACATAAAAAACTTAAGATGCTACATCTTCAAAAGAATACATTGCAAATTATCCCAGACCATGTTCTTTATAAAGTGCTGGCAGGTGGTCTGTAGTGGAAAGTTCCTTTCATTTACTCAGGTGATTCATTGAGGAGCTGCTTTACACAAGGCTTTATGCAATGAACTGAGGAGGACTAGAGAAGAAATAAATGTTAAGGTGTTTCTAATACATCCTAGATATATGCAACCTGGTTGAAGGAACAAAGTATACATAATGAGTTCATCATTTCTAGGTGGCAAAATTAGTGGCTCAAACAGAACTATAGATTGATAATTCTAGCTTTCAGTCCTCTTGTTCATGAGACAGTAAATGCATTGTATGTAAATCCTAAGAAACAGAATGTGTAAATCATATGGACATTTGGTGTCTAATCCCTGTGACAGTAATTTCTCATGTTTGGCTTTAAAGACTGTTACAGGAGCTCAGTGAAGGGAAAAGATGTGGAAAGAAAAGGCTTCCTCAGGGAAGGTATCTGTGGGGTACACCAGGTACTTCATCTACACTCTCTTTCAAACCTTAGAATAATCCTATGAAGTACTAACATTCTCATTTTACAGGTGAAAAACCAATTCGGGGCTGGTCGGTTAGTTCAGTTAGTTAGAGTGTGGTTTAACACCACCAAGGTCAAGTATTTGGACTCCTGTACCAGACAAAAAACAAAACAAAACATAAAACCTGATTCAGAGAGGTTAAGTTCCATGCCCGGGACACAAAGCAAGTAGCAAGGTTAAGATGTGGTAAACCCAAGTCTGTTCTGACTTTAAAAAGCCTGAGACCTCTTGGCTCTACTATGATTGTGATCAGCTAAAGAGAGGAGATAAGAAAAAAGAAGGCATTCTGGGTAGAAGGATCTAAATAAATAAGACCAAGTTTGAAGCCAAAATTGGGTGAGCCAATTCTGGCAGAATGGGGAAAAAAAGCACTGGGCAGTTATAGGAAATAAAGTTAGGGAATAGATTATGAAGAGACTAGACTATATAGATGGCTAAAAAATGTGACCTTGACCTTATGGGTTAATAAGATGGAATTAAAAATTGTAAACAGGGAAGTAGAGAATGAAACCAGAGCATTAGGAAGGTGAACTTTAGCAGGGCAGAGATGGACTGGAGAAAAAGTATGGCATAATGTAGAACAAATTATTATTTAAAATCCCAAGCATTTCAACATTAAAATAAATCCTATAGCAATACTTTTGTAATAAAATAATCAAACTATCTCTTTTGTATGAATCTTTCTTAAAACGCATCTCTAGGCATGTATTAAAAATAGTTACTATATCCTAACAATTCTTATATGGGTCAGAAACCAATTCCACCTTCAAATGCATCCAAAAAAGAATGTTCCTAGGGCAGAGGCCCTATTTAAAAACCTTGAACAGCAGGCCTTAGAACAGGAAGGGCCAAAAAGGAAGGAATAAAAACAGAGATTCCAACTCAAAAACCCCTTGGTAAAGAAAAACAAAGTTTCAAAAAAGTTGTATCTTCACATTTACAGAAGCACTCAAAAGTTTTTTCAGTTGGCGGGTTATAGCACCGAGGCCCAGGGTTTGATCCCTGTACTCGCCAGCAAAACAAAAACCAAAAAAAAAAAGGCATTGTCTCAATGAAAAAAAAAAGTTAAGGATTGACAAATTATACAATGACTTTCACATAACCACAGATTTACTTCTTCTCCCAAATTTAAAGTTTCCACTTCTCACGAAAATTAAGACAAAAGCATCATTCTCACCACTTAAGGGCCAAATTTCCTTTCAGTTTTATGGATATAGAAGGTTGTTTGTTTTGAAGTCTGAACTGTTGAAATTTTAGTGCTTTGGTAGCTCAAAAACAATCATTGTGATTCTCAGTTCTCCATCCTATTCAATTTTTGCCACAGGAAAATTCAACTGCATCCTGTAACCTAACTCTGAGCTACATCAAGCCAAGACTCCATACTGCTTAAACACACTTGAGATCTGGTGTAGAATCACATTAAACCCTTAGTGCCTATCACATAGACAACAATAACCTAATTAGCCAGCAGAGCACACATGCAGTGGCAACCTAGCCAGAGAGACTTCAACTCTTTCACCAACACGGTGAACACCTTGCAAAGGGGAACTGGGGGGAGAATAAGGAAAGTTGAAGAGGAAAATGTGGAGGGAAGTGTGTAACTGGAGTTTTCAAAGAGAATTACAGCAAACAGAAGTGGCAAAAGGGGTGAACTGTAGAAAAAGTTACCTTTTTTTTTGCAAAATATATCATGTGAGGTATACGCGACTTCTCTCCCAAATTTTGCACCCGTAACTTTACACTGAAACTTTCAGTGTTATTAATGATTGAGGTTCTCGGGAGTGTAAGAAGTGCAAAAGCCACATTTTGATGTCATTTCCCTGCAAAGGAAATGTGATGCCTATATGCCTAAGTACCAAGATATTTTAACTTACATAGGGATAGATAAGCTTCCCCCAAATTACATTAACTTCTGCTGCCAAAGACACTCTCAGATATGGCCACCAGATTTTCAGACTACTTAGAGGTTATTTCACATTAAATACAAAGTAGGTAAAACAAAGTTATTCACAGATGAGAAAAATGGAGATGCTGATGTAATACTAAGGGAAATGAATTCATGTTGTTATTTATCCGGGACAGGCCAAAGGCCTTACAAACACGTCCTTTACAATTCTAACAACCAGAGCCTATCTCTCAAAAGTTCAAGAACTTGGATTTACCAAGAAGTTCATTTTCAGTACCAAAATTCTACACACTAGCCTCTGGCTGTCAACAGAGACGTAAGAACCTGCTTTACGCGGGACCTGTACAAAATTTAAACCGAAGTAAATTCCTTCAGAACCTTGAGAGTACTGACTGTACTTCAAATTTCTTCTGCACCCTAAGGTCTGGTGATGCAGGCTTCCATGCCCAGATACAGTGTAACCAAGAGAAAGGTTTGTTGATTTGTGTGTAAAGCCTAAAGTGCTGCTATGGATCCATTAAATAAGAGAAAACTTCTCTTTTTCTCTGCTAAGCTTTGAGAATAAATTTAGCGGCACCTTTCCAAAAACTAGAGGGGAGGAGCGTGCCCTGAAGGGCTGCATCACGCCGCTGACCCCGGCTCCCTGGAAGCCAGTCTGCAGCTCCGCTCCCCCGCCGGGGGCGTAGAGACCAAGCCGGGGGGAGGAAGGCCGGTGACACCGTCGTCCCTGGGCCTGTGGCTACTCCGACGGGGCCTTGGGGCGACAGCGCCGGGAAAGGAAGACGGGAAGTTCGAGGGTTCACACACTCGACCCGCCGCCCCGGGACTCAGGAACCCTCCCCGAGGCCGGTGGCCCGCACCTGCCGGCCCTCAGGCCCTTTCTGTCAACGGCCTCCGGCCCCCGGGACTCACAGCTTCAGCCGCTCATACGTCGTCGCCGCCATCCTGCACCACAACCTCCTTTCTCCTCTTTCCGTCCCCCCGGCCACCTCCGCTACTGCGCTACCGGTCACTCTGGCACGGTGGCCGCAGCGTCTGGCCTCGGCCCACCCCTCTCCCCGCCCCGCAGGAGAGAACGGGAGCGAACGGGAGGCGGCCGTGGACAAACTAGTGCACGAGCTAGAGAATGCGAGAGGCGCCGTCGGACGCGGAGGGTCGGAGCGCGCTGAAGAGCGCCGTGACGTCACGGCTGCGGATTGGTGGGCCGCGTCTGCGGCAGAGAGGCGGAGCACCAGGGACTGTGCGCCGGCGCCACGACGACCGGCGCAGGGGCAGAAACTGCGTGTTGGTGTCCGGAAGCGTGTGGAAACTGCGCAAGGGTGATGAGCCATCGCAGTGTGGGCATGATAGCACGGGGCCAGTGGCGCAATGGATAACGCGTCTGACTACGGATCAGAAGATTCTAGGTTCGACTCCTGGCTGGCTCGCGGTGTACGTTTTGCCACCTTCCGGTTGGACATAACAAGACCTCCTTGGAAAGGATCATGGCTAGACTGTGATTAGATACCACGAATTTTAATGCTACTCTGCCCCAAGTGTCGTCTTTTAAGCTGTGTTTGGAACCCGGAGCTGTCCGAGATGCTGTGCAAATTGCGAAGTGCCCAATTCTTAATCATGCCCACGAGAAGACTCTGTAAATGTGGTACATTTAGGAAAACACCTGGGAAGGCGGCAGTGGGGGGCGTGCTGTGGCCGGCGGTTAACCACCCGATGACGCAGAGCGCATTCAGGCAGCAGTCCTGGCCTTCTCCGTGGAGCAGGAACCCGCGTACTGACGAGAGAAGCGGCGTGTGCCAGTTGACCCAGACGGGGCGGGGAGGGCTCGGGGCCTGCCCCGCCACGGGAAGGAAACGCGGCAGCGCGGCCGCGGTGGTGGGGCCCGCGAAGTGCGCGGGCCTGGGCCTTTTTGACCTCCGGCTCCGAAGCCAACCGGGCCCCCAAATTCCATCGGGAAACCTTAAAACATGGGTACTTTTACAGTAAGACGACGCCAGGTGATGTACTATAGTGTACCTCATTTTAACAGGTGCCCAGCTCGGAGACCTGAGAAGGCCTGAAAGTCTGCGGCCGACAGGGGACTCGAACCCGGGGAATTTTGAGTCATCGGACACTGTCCATTAATGGCTCAGTCGATCAATTAATTTATTCAATGTAATGTTTTTCTCCCCCAAGGAAATTATAGGAAATTTGTAAAATACAGAAAATTATGGAGAATAAAAATAACGCGAACTTCCATCCCGAGATCATTACTATGAGCATTATAATTTTTTTCCTTATAGACTTTTTTTCTTCCACACTTTTTAATGTGGATATACTTACATATGTATTTTTCCAAATTGGAGTTGTACCAGGAATGGGTTTATGTTCTCATTTTATCTCCTTTAGATTTTCGTCTGAGATTTAAGGTCATTAAATATTCTTTGAAGATATTCTATAAGAGAACTGGATATGTTAACCATAATCCTTATGTTGGAAATTGGGTTGTTGCCAGTTTAACACTTTTTAAAAATGATGCTGTGTTGAATTATTTCTGTCTTATAAGTTTCTAGATGTGGAATGACCAGGTGGACATCTTTAAGGTCCATTTTGTGAACATTTTTAAGACATTTGGTACATATTTTCAAATTGCCTTCCAAAAAATTAAACCAATACACATTTTCTGATTAGCATCTGTTTCCACGCATGCTAACCAACACTGGATATTATAAATTTAATTATAACTTCTTTGCCAGTTTTATAATTGAAAAATGGATGTCTATATTTTTTCTTGATCTATCAATTTTTTTTCTTACAAATTTGGCTTTTTAGTATATTAAGGATGTTAACTCTTGGCTATCAAATACATTCCAATCTTTTTCCAGTTTATCGTTTACCTTTTCCTTGTAATATTTTTTAACCTAGAGTATTTTTCACTTTTATGTACTCAGATTTGCTAATATTTTGTTTTTTCCTATTACATATGTGCTTTTTTCAAACTGTTTTGTGTTTGTATTGTTTTTTCCATTTATTTGTAATTTATCTTGTCGATCATCCCAATATAAAGATCAATGCAGTCTTAAAACCTGTCACGTTTATTACACAATTTCTTCATGCCAGGTACTGCTCTAAGTCCTTTACTTGGATGAATTCGATCAATCCTACAACAATCTAAGATAAATTCAGTTCTTGTCACCATTTTACAGATGAGGGAACTAAATTTGCTTAAGGTTATTGAGCAATTAAGTGGTGAAGCCTGAGTCTGGTCTCTTGACCCCTAAGCCGCCCTGTCCTCTGTGCTTACTGTACCCCAGAGGGTACCACATGAGTGGGCTCAGGACCAATTCCCTGTCTGGGCATGGATGACGGTCACATATACGACTCACTGCCTAACCCCTGCTAATTAGCAATCAGAAGATGACATCTCTAGTCCTGTTGATGCTTCTACTTACCAGCTCCGGGCTCTTGCCCCTTCTAATGAGATGGGGGTTTAAGTTGCAGCCTGTCTCATAAGCCTTCAGTAAATCAATGCTTCCAGTTAAATAGCCACCACCCTGCAGAGAGCTCCCACCCTGGCTCTATGAACATGTCACCATGCAGAAGCAACTAAGAGATGCAAAGTTTAGCCTTTCTTCACTAGTTGGGGAATATAAACCAGGGCTTGTGAACAAAGGCCTTAGACTAAAAAACAATAGTAATCCAGGCAGAAACAGGCATTCTGGGGCTTTAAAGGCCAAACAAGCCAGAATCAGATTTTAAGGCAGGCAAATTCAGGATAAGAAATCACCCAAGGAGGAGTAATATTGATATCTTGAGCCATTTTTCCTATAGTGAAATTGTTACTTATGTAAATAAAAATATAATTTTTTACAAAATCTGCCAGAGTCTTCCCATAGAGACAGTCCAAGCTGCAGATGAAGCTTGTTAGCACTATCCAAATGATCTGTATAGCCCACTTTTATGTCTGGCTCCGACTTGCAGACCTTTGATCCATTTTGTCTGTTGTGAGTCTCTAGACTGAGTGTGTTCTCTCACTTTCCACTCTGTCATGGGCCTGCTGTGGGCCAGGTCCCATGGGCAATGCAGGACCCACAGATGCTGTCCCTAAGGACTTGGATCGGTTGGAAGGACATGCATATAAACAAATGGTGGCAGTGCCTCAGGCCGCCTTATGTACCTGGGGGGTCTCCACATAAGCAGGGCTTCTGGAAGTATCATACATCTGGGGCTGTCACATACCTGGGAATGTCTCCTGGGCCAGACCTCTCTGGCTTCTTTTTCTCCCACAGGGTATGACGTACTCTGATTTTTTTTTATAGCCAGAGTTGGAGGTTCCAATCTCTTTTATGTACGAAGCATTTGTTTTCAATCCAAGGAAAATGCAAACCCCACTTTTAGCAATGCTTGAAGAAAAGACACCTAATATCCGAGGGATATTCTTTCATTGCCACCCCCAAAAAAGTTTGTTGGAGTCTGTGGTAGACTGAATAAAGCACCTCCCCCTTTTAGCAATGCTTGAAGAAAAGACACCTAATATCCGAGGGATATTCTTTCATTGCCACCCCAAAAAAAGTTTGTTGGAGTCTGTGGTAGACTGAATAAAGCACCTCCCCTGCCCCGCCAAAGATGTCCTATTCCCTAGAACCTATGAAAATCTGATTCTACAAGACAAGAGGGGCTTTGCAGATGTGATTAAGGATCACAAGATGGGGAGGTTATTCTGGGTTATCTGAATGGGCCTAATGTAATCACAAGGGTCCTTATATGAAGGCAGCAGGAGGGTCAGAGAGGTGTGACAACAGAAGCAGAGTGAGAATGATGCAGCCACTAGCCAAGGAATGTGGGCAGCCTCTGGAAGATGAAAAGGGGCAAGGAATGGACGTTCCCCTAGCACCTCTGGAAAGAATGTGGCTCTTCTGACAACCTTGATTTTAGCCCTTTAGACACAGAACTACATAATAAATGTGTTATTTTAAGCCACCAAGTTTGTAGTAATTTGTTATAGTAGCACTAGGGGACCAAATCAACTCCAACAGAGAGCAGTGGTAAGATTCATGACAAGGTTTTTGTTTGTTTCCTATTATGTAGCTTCAATGAGTAAATATACTGAAGGAAAAATTATTGCCCCCCAGCAGCCAAAGTGGTAGAGTGGTCAAGACAGCCCCCTCTGGATGAGACAGCCTGGGAGGGAATTCCAGCTCTATTTTCTGAGTACCTACTGTTTGAAAAGTTACTTCACCCTTCTGTGTCTCCGTTGTCTGTAAAATGAGGGGTGATGAAGAATATGTGGTCCTTAGAACATCTGGTACATGGTGAGCACACAATAAATGTCAGATATCACTGTTGCTCCTGCTTCAATCATGGAGCTTAGAACCAGACCATATTTCCCCACTGCTTCAGCCCCAAATGACCCAGATGCCAGAGGTCAGCTCTTGCTTGCTTATGACTGAGTCATCTCTTCCCAACTCCAGATCCCGGGATGTCATATTGGTAGCTTTAAATTGGCCATGGCAGGAGTGTTTACATCATAGAAATCAGCAAACACTCCATATCAAGGCTTTTAATTTTTTTCCCCAGAAAGCCGGTTTAACAGCCTACCACAGACAGCCCCAGACCACCTCTTTCCCCAACTACATTCTCATCCCTTGTAGCATCGTGGTTACAAGAAAACAGCAGCCTATGTCTTTAAAGTCAGACTAGCTTCTAAGAGAAAAAAAGATGTTTTATTTTGGTATAAGACACCATTAGAATCAGCACCGTCACTCTCGGCTTTCCGTGGCCTTGGCACATCAGACCTGGCAGCCACGTGAACTAAAGTGAAGCATGGAACAAGCCCATGGAGTGCTGAATGGCAAGTAGCTACACCATCTCCCCACCCCCAGGGCTCTAACCACACACTAGGCCCTATTACCCCGCAAGTTCCACCTTCCTGCACGTGGCTGGTTGCCTCAGACCTAAAGGGCTGCTCACTTCTGGGATTTTTTGGTTATAACCTCAAAAGAATAAAACAGTAAAATGTGCACAGAAGGGAAAGAGATAAAATGATGACCACTGTGGCAGGACCTTAAAAGTCTTAAAGAAACTGCTGATTCTTGGGGTATGACTCTCCAAGGCCTCTCACATTTTATGTCTTGTAAGCATAGGCACCGACTGCCTTAGTTCCAGCTATCTTTTCAAGAATGTTTCTGTAGTGAACAGTTGTGGATGATTGAGAGTATCTCTCTCTGGAGCAAAAGTCAGGCAGGCTTACTGCCCCTTAGGCTTGGGGTTCCTCTTGTAACACAGCCCACTGCATACGCAGGCATCAGCTGGCCTTCTTTATGGGGCCCAGTAGGAACTGGGGCTCAGGGAACCAGTGCAAATGCTGGCAATTTGGTCACTGCTATAGCTGTAAATAATAAACTGTCTTTTGTCTCTGACCTACATGTCTCATAACTTCTGCCAGGATGCATGAAACCATGGCACGCTAATTTATTAGCTTTATTTAACCTCAGATCCTTCTCAGGTTTGATATCCAGGTGTTACTTTAAAAATCCAGAGCTCTAAAATCCAAGTAGGAAAAAGCACTGTCTGCTTACTCCACACACACACAAGACCCAGTAAACATCATCATGTTGGACAGCAACTTAATAGTCTACAAATTAATGCAACTTTATTGTCACAATACTTTGAATACTTTTATAGTAACAGTAAAATTTTCAATAATTTTATAGTAAAAGAAGAGACACAAAGGAAAATAGTTTCCCTGTACAGTGAATTTTCATACACTATATGGAGACTTCCCACATCTGTTGGGCTCAAGAGATAGCTAATGTATTTTACTCACTTTTTAAAATAACTTTTAAAAGTTACTTCAAATAGTAACTGGGAAATTAGGACCGATTCTTGGCACAAAGGAGAGATCAAAAAAATTTGGTTTCCTGGCACAGTTTTGACAAGGGCATCAAGCAACAATAGTTGGATTCAGGTCACACACTTCCTTTGCACGAGGATAGCAGCCATTACGCCTCTCACTTCTACACACACAGGAAATGGCACACCAAAACCACCTTTAAAGGACTGCAAAGGGTTATGAATTCTAAATAATTCTCTCATCTTAACACTTCTGTTTTTCATTTTGTAAGTATAACCAAAGCCCATGGAAACAGGGTGATGACTGGGTAAAGGTGATCAGAACTCCTCGAGAATTCCATCAGCCACCCAGTACTCAACAGCAGAAGCTCAGAAGACTCTCTAAACACGGAGAAATGGAAAGTCCCGTCCTGCTGCCATGTGCCCAGTTAGGACTGAATGCTCTTGTGTGGTGAGAGATAAACCACAGAACCACTCTACCAAAAGATAGGGGGAATAACATCAGTGAGAGAGAGAGAGAGAAGCCTCATGTAGCAAACCAACCTGAGTTATCAGCTCTTCTCAGACCACCCAGGCAGTTTTTGAATGTCCCAAGCTAGGGGGAAGAGGAAAAAAAAAAACAAACTAGGAGATGGTGGAAAAAAATTAAAGGGTAAAATGAGGCAGGGGAGAAGGGTGGAGGCTGGCTTTGGAGTCTGGAATCAGGCCATAATCCTCCTTGTTTTATCTAAAGTCCAGGAGTTGTCCAGGAAGCTCGGGAATAGCTATTTGCTTTAACTCTTAAAATAAACTTACTCATCCTGGTTTATCAGCTCCTTGTGTTTTCCTTGTGCCCATAAATACAACCCCATTCCAATTCTATTTGGCTAATAATTTATAGAACATTTTTTGCTTTAACTCTTAAAATAAACTTACTCATCCTGGTTTATCAGCTCCTTGTGTTTTCCTTCTGCCCATAAATACAACCCCATTCCAATTCTATTTGGCTAATAATTTATAGAACATTTAAAATACCAGGTAGGTGAAAATCTTTTCATGGCTTTTGTGCAAGGGAAGAGAAGCAAAACTGATTTGAGATTCCTACCCGGTGCCCTCTCCAGGGAAACTGACAACTAGAGAAGTCCGCTGCTAGGATTTCTAGAACATCTGGAAATTCCCTTATTGTTCTTTCTCAACAACATAAAATACCATATCTGCAAATGTATTTGAATCATCTCCATCGAACCCACTTTAAAAAATTCATTTAAAAATTAATCACATATTTAACTAATTACCCAATTTGCAAACAAACCCTTGCTACCTCTGATGGTGGCTCCAACGTAATTTTCTTCACTCTGTGTGACTTGAAAGTGGAGCAAAGGTGTGTCGGCAAGGCCAGTGTTCCTACGCTGGCAAAGACAGGTTAAGACATACTGGCTGCCTTCACTTACCCCCAGCCTTGCCAAAGCTGAGCTGGATGCTTGACAGGAAGGGAGAGGCCCAACCCAAGCATTCACTTCCCCAACCCAGTGCATCCATGGGTTTGCAGGAGTGTGAAAAGGAACAGAGGAAGGCACACAGCCCAGCTGAAGTGACATCTGACCAAAGTATTCCAATGAAATTCATAAAAATGGACTAGACCATCCATTGCACCAATTCTGTGCTTCTTACAGGCAGTGGCTACCATACGAGGCGGGCCCAGTGAAAAGTCTGAGTTCACATGAGCCAGGGGCTCCACCGACTGTGTTCCGCAGCCCCAGTGCCCAATCCTCTCGCTCTGGGTGGAATGCGAGGCAGTGGAGTGCAGATGCCAGCTGCCACGTCCCAGCCTGGCCGACAGTGGTGAGACAGCCTGGCCCTCCTGTGACAGGGCCATGGGCCCCTCCCCCATACGAGGCGGGCCCAGTGAAAAGTCTGAGTTCACATGAGCCAGGGGCTCCACCGACTGTGCTCCGCAGCCCCAGTGCCCAATCCTCTCGCTCTGGGTGGAATGCGAGGCAGTGGAGTGCAGATGCCAGCTGCCACGTCCCAGCCTGGTCGACAGTGGTGAGACAGCCTGGCCCTCCTGTGACAGGGCCATGGGCCCCTCCCTACAGGCCAAGAGGGCAAATGACAGCCAGTCTTTTTCTTTCTTGCAGCTTCTTCTAATTGAAATACCAAGGGATATTGACTTCCGGCCTCAGAAGTATGACTTACAGGGCATATTTTGCCTCTTTGGTGCAGAGGTGGTCTTGAAATCTTGCCAGCATGGCCCTCCCTTAGCCCATGCCACCCCGAGAAGCCAGCATGCTGAGATGCATAAGGCAACAGTATGGAATTTCAATCAGATCTATTCCCGGCTGACCTTTTAGTTAAGGTCACACTGCCCTGACCTGCTGCAGTATGGCCTGTGTGAAGACAGTGACTTCTAACACACGGAGGAAGGTATCTGAGTCCAGAGTGACTGCCGAATTCCTCCTTAATCTGTGATTTGGTGAGGCTCTGTGAGGTATTTTTCATGTGTGGAATATTGAAAGTAGAGGGAAGCAATTTTTAAAAAACAGACAAAAGCAGTGTACCTTATACTGGTTTCTTCAAACGTAATGCCTTTGCCAAGAATTGGGCAAGACAGAAACCTATGAAATGAATATAATAACTTATTCTGAAGCATGCCCTCCCATGCTGGCTTAGAGATCTCACACACACAAACACTCCCTTCGTTTATAAGGAGCTCTCAGTATGCGAGCAGGACTTCCAAAAAGCCCATCATTAAATAAACTAAAACAGGCTCAAGAAATGTCCCCACATGCAATCCTGAGACTTGCCTCGCAGGAGCGGCTCCGAAGTCACAGACTGGAGAGCTCCAGAGAAAAACAGCACAAACAGGTGGGCAAAAAAGTCCTGGTGCCTGCACCAAGCTCTCCCAAAGCACACTTTACTCAGACAGGACAATTCTCCGCTGGGGCCCCAGCTGCCTTTAGGGGAGTAAGGATTTGCAGAGGTACAAAGCGCGCTGTCGGTGTACAAGGAGGGAATGCTCCCTCTCATTTCAAATCCTGGCTCTGGCTTACTAAGCAAATTCTTAGGATACAGAGCACATGTTAGATAGAGCTTCTTTCTTGCCACAATGCAATTAAAATTTGAAACCACACTATAGAAGAACTGAAGCTCTGGGGTGGAAAGAAGCCTTAAACCATGCTGTGATGTGGTGTGAGGGGCAGGAGGTAGGGGGTTTGAGTGCAGATATTTTTTCCTGAAAGAAGGGAAAGGGTTGAATGTATCAGCAACTGAACCGGCTCTTCAGGGGATACTGTGAAATACGTTCAATGCAAACCTCTCCCTTTGAAGCATGAACTGGACCCAGAGGGGACAGGAGGTTTGTTCTGTTGCACCAACGTGACCTTGTGTCATATGCCACGCATGTGCTGGAGCGTCTTCCTGAGTAACCTGATGAGGGTGCAGCAATGGAGAAAAGCGCTCAGAAGATACATGTACCAGACAGGTACTGTCCACCTCCCTGGTAAAGGAAAGTCACCCACGCATACACGCAGGAACCCGCCCACCCGCCCCTCCTCTTCCTCCGCCCCAATTCCACACGAGGGGCCACCAGAAGTAACAGGCAGACTCGTCCTTGTGCAGCCGTGGCTCCTCATCCCGCTGTGAGCTCCACAAGACGCTCTGGCTAGAAGTGGTGCTGGTGAAGGGCTGCAGGCGAGGGGCCTTTCTCCAGCCTCTTGACGTGGCAGGAGTGGCAGAACAGGTGATCCTCCAGCGGGTAGCAGCGATGACCATCTTCATCATTGAGCTCCAGTCCACAGTCCTGGTGGAAGGCAAAAATGCCCCATGAAGTGAAACAAAAGACTGCAAGACTGATGTGAAGGGCACAGTCCCCAAGATCAGCACAGGGTGCTGCGTGTTTCTGTACAGGTGGGAAATGCCAGTGCAGAAACACACGGTCCTGCCCAATGGAGACCTGGACTATACTGTCCAATACAGAAGCCACTGGCCACATGTCACTATGGGGCACTTGAAATGGGGCTAGCAGGACGTAAGATGTGCTGCTATCAGCAGAAACCCACATCAGATTTCCAAGACTTAGGACAAAAACAGGATGTAAGAATATTTCATGTATAATTTTTTATATTGATAAGATGTTGAAATAGTAACATTTTGGATATATTGGGTTGAATAAAATAATTAATTCCCACCTGCTTCTCTTAAAATGTGGCTACCAGAAAACTTAAAATGATACACATGACTTGAATCTGTGGCTCTTCTGTTCCTACTGGACAGTGCTGGCTGGGAATGTGCAGAGAGGACAGTGGAGTCTTCACTTTTTTCTCTGGGCACTTGGGGGACCAGCACCCAATGATTCCCACCTATTTCTTCAGTGTTGGCAGTGAAACCAATCTATATGTCAGCACAACCCCTGTTCTCACCACCAAAAAGTCACAAAATGAATCTAATCTCCTTTCACGGGTGAATCCACTTCATTGTGGCAGAAACCCCATGAGCACCCTTCACAAGGGCTGGTGATGGCCCACCCCTGGCTTTCCTGACAGTCATGGGGCATTAGCAGCTCCTTCAACCTGCAGGTGACAAAGGGCAGAGTAGGGGCAGATGGGCCCCCACCCACCTTCACACCACCCAGCTGACGTATCTGTTTTCAAGAGGGGTTTCTTCATGATTTCTGTGGCTCGGCTGAGAAAGGGGCTCCTGGCAGATAGAAAAGCCTACAAACTAGAGGGGAGAGAGTCTCCACCCAGATCACACACCTGCCTGACAATCTGACCCTTACACAGGACCTGAAGCCCACCCTCCACACAACGCTCCTAGCCATGCAACTTCAGGGAGAGCAGCTGCGAGGTTCAGGACTGGACAGCTCCAATTGTGCACAAATGGTAAAGACCTTTATAATACCCCAAGCATCTGCATCTTTTCCTACCTACTCTCCAAACCAGCCTTCATCCCCTTTCCTACATCAGCTCTGGAGGGAAGACCCTTGCCAGAATCTTTTGACCATCTCATGCCCTAGTCAACTCAGGATGCTTTTCTCTTGGTCTTTTACCATGGCCTTTGGGGGCTGGGCAGGGAGGCGCCTACCTCACAGTGGTAACACTCCACGTGGTAGTCTCTGTCCATAGACACGACACGGATGGTCTCATCTGAGCCCTGGCACCAAAGAAAAGCAAGAACACATGAAAGAGACCAGTTAGGGGACCCATCAGGTTCCACATGCCATGAGGTGGGGAGGGAAGAGAATCCTGGGATAACAAGTCAGAAGCCTCAGAAGAAGATTAAAATCAGTGCTTGCAGGAAAAAGAATAGATTTGCTGATGAGAGAGGAAGTAGAAGGGACAGTAGTCCTATTACAGTCTGGAATGTCAGAGCCAATACTGAAAATAAGACTTACATGGACATTTATTTTTAAAACAATGAATAAAAGACAAGCTTTTCTGCTCATCTTCTGATCTAAGAGTTAGTATCAAGTAAGGGAGTCTGACCTGATTATAGAAACAAACAGGCACAAGAAGGGTATTGGGCTGGTAAAGCCAATGAGAAAGGGTGAGGATGCTATCTCAGAGTTGAGATCTTAGCATATTTTAAGATGTAAGGACAGGACACGGATTTTGTAAATTACCCCAGGGAGATATTGGTGTCTAGGCAGACCCCAGGAGCACATCTGAAAAAGCACCTTACCTCAGGTGGCAGGATGGGAAGCCCACAGGCTGCACACTTGGGGGCCAGCACCCTGGGGGAGAGACGAAGAAGCAGTGAAATGCACGTTGCCTTGCTCCTGGGAGGCACGCCCAAAAGCCTGGCACCTGCAGCCTACGTGCAGCCGTCCTCACGGTGCCTCCTGCCCATCCTCTCCTGCGTGTCCCTCCAGCCTGCCTCCCTCTGCAGAATGTGCCTCGGCATGCTTTGCGATTGCTCCCCAGATGAAACAAGGACATCCAGCTGCCTCTCGCTGTACTAGGGATGGAGACTGGCCTGTTTGTTCACTCTCCTCACGGTGGTGAGTACAGGCCCAGGCAAGCTGAGCGTGGTGGAAACTAACACTGATGTGGTACCTTGTGGCATGGGGTAACGCTGGAGCCACAGGGCTTGGTGACTCCTCCTGAGGCCTAGCCAGGAATCTGATTATAGCTTATTGTTCTGTTTTGTCACCAAACATGATTCTTTAGCCAGTTCCTGTCTACACTGGTATCAGCTGACCTCCTGTGGCCCCCGCTGCACCACTCTAACCTGTTAAGCCCTTGCTGGACTGTGGACGAATGGTACAAGCAGCTAGCAAATACACACCAGTTGGCTTCTGCCTTTCGCTCTGCTGGGATCAGCGTGGCTTACACATGCAGTCCCTGTCTGCTCCCGTCCCTCCTTACTTGTGGTAATCTCGGACACAGTAGATCTTGTTCTCTGAGTCCACAGTGAAAGGCACTCCGTCCAAACACTCATTACAGATGACACAGCGGAAACAGCCAGGGTGGTAGGACTTCCCCAGGGCCTGCAGGATCTGGGGGCGTAAAGGAGGAGAGGCCAGGACTCAGTTGGGATTTTAGGGAAGGAAGGGAGAGAAACACATCAGGCTGAATGTCACATGAGTGTCACATGAATGTCCCTCAGCCTGGAGCACTCATCCCAGAGTTTCACTTGGATGAAGGTCAAGAGATGATGGGGGTGGGAAAGGCTAATCTATTTACATGTATAAACAGGAGGAGGTCAAAGAGGACTTCTGCTGTACTTCCTAAGCCTCTCACAGATCTGTAAGCTAGAGGGAATTTAGAGCCCTCCCTTCCAATCCCTCATTCAGAGCAGGAAACTCTTTCACAGTTCTTTCCCAGAAAGATATGATGGGATAGGGCTGGGCCAATCCCACCCAAAACCCACCATGGAAAAGCAGGAAACGAGGCAAAGTGGGGCCACAAGAGGATCCATCCCAGATTTGGGAAGCAGCAAGTACATGGAAAAAATTAAGAAAATTCCACATGGAAATGGCAGAACTTGAAAAAACCCTCTTCACTTCCACCTCTTGAGTGCCCCTTCTACGCAGCTTTGATTCTTGGCATGACCTGACCCCTGATCATCTCACATCTAAGCCTAACAAGCAAAGCCCTTTTGTTAGTGCTGTTGTTTTTAAAAATAATGAAGGAAATCCCTATAAACCTTCTTCCTCTCAGCATCATTTGGTCTGGATGTGATACTTGAAACCACTAGAGCCATCCTGAAACCAGGACAGAGCTGAGACACGAAAGGTAGGACAGAGAAGAGAAGGAAGGACATCCTTGGTGATGTCTACAAGCACTAACTCACCATGGAACTGCCCACCTCCAAACTCTTATTAGGTGAAATAAAATATTCTTCCTATTAAGTCAGTATATTAAGTCAAAGTATGGTCTCTGGACCAGCATCAGCTTCACCTGGGATCTTGTTAAAAATGCACATTCTCAGACCCCATCCCAAACCTCCTTAATCAGAAACTCTGGGGATAAGGCCCAGGAGTTGGTGTTTTAATAAGGTGATTTTGTGGCATGCTAAAACTTGAGAATCATTGGTTTAAGTTAAAATAAATCTGGGCCCCACAGGGGTCCTGAGGCATGGAGCCAGGGGAAGCCAAATCCAGCTGCAACCAGGTAAAGAGCACACCAAAAACACCATTTCCATGCAGGTAGTCCACCATAGCCACCACAATTGCTATGACTGCCACAAAAGCAGCCAGTTGCTATAGCAGTAGTCACAACTACCATGCAGATGGCACTCTAGACACTTGGCTACACTGACACAAGGAGAGTCACCTGCAGAAATCAAAAAAAAGAAAAAAGAAAAGAAAGCAAGGTCCTCTCTCTCCATAAAGCATACTCCAGAGTAACAGAAGAGTAATAGAAGAAGTATCTCCTATACCATAATAGTGGGGGACCTGAACAAACCTCTCTCAGTACTGGACAGATCATCTAGGCAACAAATCAACAGAGAAACAGTTAATCTATCAGAAGGAGAGAACAAATCTATGATTACTGGGGGGAGAGGGGGATGGGGAGAGATTGGATAAGGGGCATACAGAATAAGTATGACTTGTAATAATGAATATGCTAATAAAAAATTTAAAAGATACATATATTAGCATAGATATTTCTTATATTTATATTTCCATCTACCATATATGTGTATATATTTATATCTCCATGTGTATCTATGTATAGCTATCTATCTACATATGGTTTTATTATACACATGTCTTTAACATTAAGCCTCCTAAAATCATTTTTGGAAAAAAATAAAAGTTAAAAATAAATAAATTAATTAAATAAAATAAGTCTGAATTTTTCTATAATTTGCAGTTGAAAGCATCTTCACTGACTCAATAGGAGATTCATTTCTGCAATTACCTGTACCATGCAATTTAGCACAAACAGCTAAACTACGGAATCAACATGAGCAAGGCCACACCAAAACACTCATCTGCAGAGAATGTACAAAACGGCAGCATCCAGCAGTGGGGGCCACACAGAAGGCCTTCAAACAGGCTGAAGGAAGGGGACTCAGAATCTAGGAAAGCCTTGTCAGCACATTGTGAGAGCCGTGGGAAAGATGTGCTTTGTTCCAGCTCCTTCCACTGGAAGCCCACAGGAAGCTAATTCCATGCTGCACATACTCCAGCCAAGCAGTAAAGAGGAGGACTTTGTGCTATTCTAGCTTTCCTATGAAAGCTCAGCTTTCAAGCTTCCTCATTCCTTCTTGGGTTTTACTACTTTTGAGGCCCCTCTTAATCTGCAATAAGCTGCCAAAATAGGAAGAACAATCAGCTGGTCTTCCAAAGTACATTTGGCAATTTGGACCATAGAATACATTTACCCCCATACTAATGCTGTCTTGGCAGAAATAGACTCCTAAATAAATTTAACCCATGCTGTGCCTAAAGTAAGGTTGGAAAAAGATGCCATTTTGCTGCATTCAGCCTAGCTGTAATAATATTTTTATGTGGGAATATGCCCAGTTTCAACCTGCAAGTCCACACATACCCCTCTATAAACAAAGGCAGACACAGACAATTTATACCAAGCATTGGACAGTTTGGGTTCTGCTGTAGAATCGAGTGGTATCTGAATTTATCTTTCCGTGCATTATTAAAATTCTTGGCAGCAGTTAAGAATTATGTCTTTAAAAGTGGGTGTCATTACCAGACAGACATTTGCTAAAAGTGCTCTAGTCCTAGAGAAGACCTGAGACTGGAGGTTCAACTTTGCATCAGCCTGTATGGTAGAGATCATCTCCAAAAATCAACACCTTCTCTTCCTGTATATGCACAGGCTAACCCTCACATTAAGAAATGGAGAATATTTCCTCTCCCCTGGAATCAGGATTGGCCTTGTGACTTTCTTTGATCAACAGAATGAGGAAGAAATGATGTTCTGAGATTCTAAGTCAAGGACTTAAAAAGACCAGCAGCTTCCACTTCCTCTCTCTTACTGTAAGGAAGTCTGAACTAGACTACTGAATTATTAGAAGCCATAGGGAGAGAGGCCTGGAGGGTAAGAGGTTGCCCTGGACGTTCCAGTTCAACTGTGCCACCAGCTGAACAAAGCTGAGTAAGTGACCCCAGCCAATGCCACACAGAGCAGAAGAATCACCCCACTAAGCCCTGACCTAATTCCTGATCCATGGTATCATAATAAATAATAAATCACCCTCATCTTAAACCACTAAGTTTTGGGGTGGTTTGTCAAGCAGCAATAGATAAATGACATACCCTGAGATCTGAAGAAGTCTTAGGACAACCAGTACTAAGAATAGGGTATAATCATACTCATAAATTTAGACAATGACCTCACATGCAGTGGGTTTGTCAGAAGGACTCTAAAAACAAGGACAAATTCGGCTAAAGAAATGGAACTCTACAGAGTCTGGCAGGCACTTGGGGAAAGTAGGAGTGAGGGCATGTGGCTCCTGCCAGTCTCCCAGGGAGGGAGTCCTTGGCTGCTAATGAGGATATAGCCTTCATAGGGCTTAGTTCTGCTATGGATTGTCAAAGCCTGGATGACAGCAGGTAATCTTCATGAATAGGGAGGGCTCTGGTTCACTGTTATTTTATAAATGTTAGCATATAACCAACAGAAATCAGTGTTTATGTCCATCAAAGACACGTACAAGAGTACAGGTTTATGCATAAATAGCCCCAAACTGGAAACCACCCAAACCCCCATCAACAGGAGAATGAAGGAATACACTGTGCTACATCCATTCAGTGCAATTCTACTTAGCAATAAAAATAAATGAACTACCAATACAGGGAACAACGTGGATGAATCTCAAACACATATTTCTAAGTGAGAAAAGGCAGACCCAAAAGAGTCTATATTATATGACTGCATTTATATGAAGTTTCAGAACCAGCAAAATGAATCTGTGGCAATACAAGTTGGAATAGTGGTTGCATTTGTGGGAGGGGGGTCTTGAGTGGGAGGAAATGTTCTACATCTTGATCTGGGTGGTAGTTACATGGGTATATGCACATGTAAAACTTCATTCAGCTGTATACTTAAGATTTTCACCTTTTACTCTATAAGTTATTTCTCAATAAAAAGGTAAAAGAAAAAAATAGCAATGATTAGCAATTCTCTTTTCCACAATGGAATTAATGGGTCAGCTTAAAGACGGATTTAACTATTTCCAACTAAAAGTATGTTATATAATCATTTTCTCTGACCAGTATAATAAAAATATTCTTAAAAGTTTGTTTCTGGTGGTGAACGATTTAATCCCTGTATTCATTAACTTCACAACCTAACTCTATAAGGAAAAGTTGTCTCCACTGAAGAGATAAAGATGCTGAGGCCAGTGGCTGAGCAAGGAATGGGATGTATAAAATTTGGTCTTTATTCTGCTGTCTCGGGACTTAATGACAGGCCACAAAAACCCATCTTAGCAATGGCTTGAGCCGGCCCGAACATGGGGTGGGAGTGCAGAAACAACGATGTTCATCTAACTTTCTGCACTCTACTCCAAGGTAGCTGAGATTTCCGCAGTAAAAACAGGCTGCATTTGGCACCTCCCTTGGCATGACACAAGGATCACAGAGAAATCAGAGGGAGGCCAGTGTGATCCAAACATCCCAGAGGAGGAGAGAGCATTATCAGAAACATGACATCATGCAGTCTGGATGGTTAAAGATGCTACCACCAAGGGGACTGGCTGGTTAGCTCAATTGGTTCGAGTGTAGCCTTATAACCCCAAGGTCATGGGTTCAGATTCCCACACCAGGCAGCTGCCAAATAATTTTAAAAAAATAAAATAAAGATGCTAATACCAATAAAAAAACTAACAAGGAGGGTTCTATTAGTGCCAGCAAGCTGAACTGCACAGGGACTTCTTTTAATAAAATCATCTGTAACCACAGATCAAGATAGGGAACACTCTTCTCAATTATTAATTTCTCTTTTCTCTGAATGTCTCCTCCTCTCAAGATGAGCTTTTGTCTATGTAGGTCATAACTATCCATACTTAATGTTTTGGAAATTGAGACAGAAATTTTTCTTTAAGATGCTAATACCAATAAAAAAAACTAACAAGGAGGGTTCTATTAGTGCCAGCAAGCTGAACTGCACAGGGACTTCTTTTAATAAAATCATCTGTAACCACAGATCAAGATAGGGAACACTCTTCTCAATTATTAATTTCTCTTTTCTCTGAATGTCTCCTCCTCTCAAGATGCTATTATCTTATTTGGCTGGCTCTACTCACCATGTCCATGATCAGATGTCCACAAAGAAAACACCTGTCAGCAGACTGCTGGAAACCAGAGTACTGCAGAGAAAAGAGAAAAAAAGTTAAACCCGGGCCAGCAGATGAATCAACCACTTCCCTGCCAGTCACAAAGATTATAAGGAATTTCTCAGAAAGACGTGTCACTCTGTGCAGGTATCTGTCATATCCCCTGAGGACAAGAGAGGTGTATGCTGGGTCATAGAATATCCTTGCCACAAAAGCCATTACAAATACTAATACCACTTGCCCTAGCAATGACTGTATCTGGGCACCCAAAATGTGCCAGGTTTGATGTAAGAGACTATAGCTTGAGAAGCTTTAATCCTCAATCTAGAAGTGGTTCCCAAACAGGGATTCCCTGGCATCACCTGGAAATTTGTAAGATAAGAAATGCAAATTCTTGGACCATACCCCAGACCTACGGAATTGGAAACTCAGGGGGTGTGGCCCAGCAATCTGTGTTTTCACAAGCGCGTCAGGGGACTCTGACGCATGTTCAAGTTTGAGGCCACAGCTCTAATCCTTAAAACAATCCTGCAAGGTATGTATTATCATCTTCATCTTTCAAATGGAAGCAAAGGGGAGCTCAGAGAGTTTAAAGGAACTTCTCGAGGTAACACAGCCTAAAAAGGGTAAGGACAGGATTAAAATTCAAGCCTGGTTCTGGTTAAAAGCTAATGCTTTTTACAGTTAGCTTCAAAGAAACTTGATAAGTATTAGCTACTTTACCTTACACACACACACACACACACACACACACACACACACACACACACAGCTGTGGATCGATTGAACTGTGTCCCCAAAGTTCATATATTAGAAGCTTAATTCCCACTGTAACTGTTGAGGGTGGGTAGTCCTATTATGGTAATTGAAGGTGAGCCTTGAAGAGGTGATTAGACTGCAGGACCATACTGTAGTGAATAGATTAATAATGGTGGTCAGGGGCATGGTTCTGAGGGCTTTAAAAGGAGAGTGCATGAGAGTCTCTCTCTCTCTCTGCTCCACCATCTGCCGTATGAGACCCCTGCACTGCTGTAAAGCCACCGCCAAAGAAGACTCACCAGATGTGTTCTCTGGACTTTGGACTTCCTAACATCTGAAACTGTAAGCAATAAATTTTGTTTTCTTATAAATCACCCAGTTCCAAGTATTTTGTTACAAGCAACAGAAGTGGACTAATACACACACACACACACACACACACACACACACACACACACACACAGAGTCTTAAAGAAATGACAAACTCTTCAGAAAATGTACTTGATACTACACACTGTAAAATACTAGGAGTTTAGGTACTACAAACACAACCTAATGGGGTGGGGACGAACGTAATGGAAAGGAAGGTGGAAAAAAAGAAAAGTGAAACTTTCTGCAACTCTACCCCATGTCATGGAGATTTCTGCTGCCCAGCCCAACCCCCACTCTAGGGTTGACAGTTCTTTACCTTCATTTGGGGTCCAGCTCCCACACTCCCACCCTGTGGTTCCCATGATTCCTGTGGGGTTGACTCAGGCTGGCGCCAAGGCTGGGCACTGACTCAGACCTGGCCAATCAGAATCAGCACCAATGATTTTGTCCAGAGGTGGGCATGTGACCCAACAGGAGCCAATGAGACTCCAGGA